AAATCAAGGCTGAAAAGTTATATAGCTTATCCAATTTGGTTTAGACCCTGCTTGAAATTCTCCCAGAGTTCCTATATGCATGTTATGTCTGTTGGAACAAGGAATAACCAAAGGCTGCTGTCACCTCCCAGAGCTGTAGTCTTCATGACTCTGTGGATAGGAAACAGTGGGAGAAGTAGTTGATACAGAAGAAGTACTTAAGTAGCAGTACCAGAAGGTGAACTCTGCTTATCAGTATCTGGAATTTAAGGTATGTGTAGGATCAAGGAAGCTTCAATGCATTTGCAAAATCTTCTGAAGATGTCTACTGAAGGCCATCCTGTTCCCTCTCACCCTCTTCTCATGGACAGATTTATGACATCAAAATGGAGCAAACCTAACAACCTGTTTGCCACACTGACTCAAAAAACTGGAGAACTAAGAAGGAAGCCAGGGAAACTGTGAGGGAAGGTGCCAGAGTTCATTTGTTTAAAATCTCTAACTGGTAAGTACCTTCGGTTTCTTCTTAGACTTGCCTCTGCACATTGTCACTTCTGAAAGGGAATCTCAAACGTTCTCAGTGGGAAAGGATAGAGGAGCTGCAAAATTAACAACTAGCCCTAAATTTTGGAGGCTGCTTGTTTGCACAGGGGAAGAGATTCCAGTCCTAACAATGAGGCAACCAACAGAGTGAGCAGCCTTCTAATAAAGCAAATTTCAGCATTTTAGTTTACTTTTCATAGCAACTAACGCTCCAAAGGAAGGTTATTTAATCCTCAGCACTAATAGTCAAGACAGAAGAATAGAGACTTTTTAATGCTGCTTATGCCAGACACAAAAAACACATACAGAACAACTCCTCACAACCAGCACAAGTCAGTTTGACCTAGAGGAATACAGTGACTTCGGTGTGACCACATTTACCATCCACAAAATGAAAAAAATATAAAGAATGTGGTTCTACAAAGGGAACTGGGTAGCACCAAGCTCCCTACACCTGCAAAGCCAGGTAGGTGAGTACTACTAAAGCACAGAATCATAGAATATCAGGTTTGAAAGGGCCTCATGGATCAGCTGGTCCAACCTTTCTTAGCAGAAGCATGTGAAGCACAGGATGCTTAGTATGAAACCCTTAGTGCTAACTTGGTGTGCTTGATTTAAGCCTTTAGAGACACCCAGGCAGAATGCAGGATCAGTGATATTTGATATATCCCTACATACACACACACTACCTAGTTATATTTACATAAAAAAGAAAGGGAATAAAAGGGGGAAATAGAATTCTATCAAGGAAATGTGAAGGTGGACATCATACAACCCAAGTTAACCAGCCCTTCAGAAGGACCTGAAGGACAGCTAGGCCACATTCCCTTCCTTTGACACACATGAACTCTTTACATCTGAAAGCACATGAAAGATCAGATCAGAGGAAATGTCTCAAGATCATCCTGAAAACTTGCATTGTAGGCTCCTTCATCCCATTAGCATGGACACAGCCCCAAAACATTATCTTGCACCATCAGAAAGTCCTGTACTCTACTCACAGCACTGTAACTGGGGCATGCTTTGAGGTCATGCTTTCAAACAATAGAAATCTATGTGCTCTTATCAAAAATCTCACTGAAAAGTAAACAATTACTATTGATTCTACTAATACTGTCTGGAACACAAATAATAGCAGCCACCTTGTCTCTACCTTTCTTTTTGTTACTACATTTCCTAAGAATAAAATAGCAACCTTCCAGCCCTTCAAGACTGCATTTAAATAAAAACTAAAAAGCACTACAGAAAGATAAAGGGGATTATCATAGTAATTTTGATTTTCCATCTCAGTGCCAGTTAAAATCTACACATATATGTATTCCATCTTTTTAACCTCCATGAACAGTGTTGGACATGTCTATATTTCAGCACACAAATAACATGAATAACACACCTCTGGTCTCAGGTGTGCAGAAAAACCCAGTGTTATAGGAAGCACATACAGTCAGTTAACCATTATGAGCATTTTTAATTATCTTTAAATCAACAATTATTCCTATAAGGTCCTACAAACAATTTTTAATAAAAAACTAATTTACTACTCACAAATTAATTAGGATGAGCTAAAATTAGTTGCATCTTTTTAAATGAGATTTTTGCAACCAAGGTCAAGGGCAGTAAACATCTACTTCAAGTTTTAAAAGACACTGCTTTTGGACTATGAAGTATTCTCAATTTATTTTTTTGCCTCAAGGAAATGAAGAATTGGTTCCATTGTGATGGAAGAACAGACTTAAGGGAAATAGGGCACGTCAGACTTCAGTGGATAATCAAACGAAAACCACTCAGATGTTTTGATTGGGAGTTTGTTCAATTAAAGAAAGTTTTGACACAAACTTAATCGTGGCAATAAACTTTCAGAACCTGTTATATGAGTGCCTGTGCTAGGAAATGGCTTAGCTGCTTGTTTCTCTCAGCAACCTACAACCCAAAGGGAGGCCTCTAACATTTCAGACTGAGGCAAATGCAGTCATGCCACTCCAATAGTGCCACCTGCTGCGTACTGTAAAACTGTACAGGGTCTGGAGATCCCAGGAACTCGATTTAAAAGCCTGGTCGACTGATTTAAAGAGAAAGCACAATTTTGTGTGCGTGTATGACAATAAGAATTTATTTCTATTTATTAGTAATACCTAAACAGGCTCTGAGTTTGAAGGAAGTTGTTCCACTATGGCATAAGAACAGAACCCATGGTTAATCCATTTCCAAGTTTATCTCAGTAGCATAACAAGGATTAACTACATCAGCTCATTACACATCAAAACCTTGCAGAGACTGCTGTCTCACAGCTGTGGTTTATGTCCTCCTAGACACAAACTCTTCTCACCCAGAAAGATAAACCATCCCCTCAAAAGACATCTTGGAAATAGATCAATGGATAAATAAATAACCAACGGATAAATGAAAACCTATTGTCAAAGTGATAGGAGTGTTACCCATTTCTAAGAAAAACTACCATTTTCTTGGCACCCAAGGCAACTTCAAGCCATTAATCCTTCCTACAATTCCACTGACTTTTGTTATGCTTGATACACATCTAGAGATATTTGCACAGACCCATCAGAACCAACACTTTCAAATGCAGGAGATTCACAGCTCTAAGTGTATCACAGGACTTTCCAAACCCATAAAAAAAAAAAAAAAAAGAAAAAAAAAGAAAAAAAATATCACGGATTACATTGCTCTTTTGCACCCTCCGGCTAAACATTCTATCGTCCATTGTGACAAAACGGCCTGGTTCACTGCGGCTGGGGGCTTATATCAGAGCCTGTTGCCCCCGGATACTTCAGTCCCTTCATCTCAGCGGCAGTAGCCCACATTTTCCTCCCGGGAAGAAGCTTGGGATGAGAGGAGCAGTGGTGTGAGTGCCCAAGCTTCCCCAGAAGGCTGGTGGGTCCCCGGCCGTGGGGCACATGTTGGTACCCAAGGTCAATCCGCTGCCTCCTTGTGGGTTTGCACAAGACACTGCTTCGGTGCTTCCCCTCCTTTAGCACGAGGGATGTGTCAGAGTTGTGCCAGGTGACTTTCCTCCTTTAGGAAAAACTAAGGCGTCCTGCTTTATGAACCAACCGATCTGAGAATCTCTGTTCCTTCAACGTTCCATCAACGTTCTGTTCCATCAACGTTTTGGCTTTTGAACCTTAGTTCTGTACTTGGTTTATGTCCCACACAAGGCAGATTGGCTTCAGAGGGTGACATTTTAGGTACAAAAACTCAGTCTTGCTTTCAAAGTGGCTCTTGGGAAATACCCAATTGTTTCCTTAAATTAGTTTTGAGAAAGTCCATTTAAACTCTTACTAAAAGTGTGTCACTGTGCAAAACTGAGCAGATGTACAATTGTACTAAAACTACAGTTTAACAGCATTATTTTTTCACGTACTTTCACTCTTGGGCCCTTGCAACATCATCAAATGGATCTATTTCAGGGACAAAAACGTGCAGTACATACTCCAGGCATCGTTTCATACTTTATCTGACATGATCAAAAGCCACATATTCAAACTTTTGCCTCATTGTTGGATAATACTGTTGAACATGTGGTAAATTTCAAAATGTGACTTATCATGCATTTGGAGAATTTGCTGAGCTCTCAGTAACAAAATTAATATTTCCATAGTTTATTCCATTTTACAGAATGGCAGAAATCCTGCCAGGCATCGTTTCATACTTTATCTGACATGATCAAAAGCCACATATTCAAACTTTTGCCTCATTGTTGGATAATACTGTTGAACATGTGGTAAATTTCAAAATGTGACTTATCATGCATTTGGAGAATTTGCTGAGCTCTCAGTAACAAAATTAATATTTCCATAGTTTATTCCATTTTACAGAATGGCAGAAATCCTGTCCTGACATGGCACACTTTTGATTCTGCACCGAGCCCTGAATACTTTCAACACATTCTCAAAAGGGAGAAATAAGCACAAACTTATTAAGGCATAATAAATCCTCCTCTCTCACCCCACTGCCCCAGGAGGTGGCAGCAAGAATGAAACTAGGTGAAAGTTAAGGGAGGGAGAGGGGAGAGGGAAAGACACAAAATACGTGGAAAGAAACATGGAAAAAGATTTCCCAGGTGGAACTACTTGTCTTGGGGATGCCTCTATGACATCGTCTTGGGGATGCTCTATGACATCATCCCTTTAAGAATTAACATTACTGCATAAACCAGTATTACCCAGTCCTTTCTGTGCTTGACCATGTTCAGTAAGGTTTTGTATTTCACCGTGTTTTTTGGCAAAGGTTCATATGCTCACAACCTTAAGTAAACACTAAATCCTGCTATCCAGGCCTGATCATGAACTCTGTATGCAGGCACTCCAGACACACCATGTGAAAACAAGGTGACTGACATCCACAACTTCAGCGCAGACCAGACAACTTCTGACACAAGTCATTGTGCTTGGAAGAAAGTTATTTGTTCATTCAGGAAGATATCAGGTGCTTCATACCTGATTTGCTTTTTTGCCAAGACAATGAACGAAATTTCCTGCTGCAGCACTTTTTCTTCCTTGTTGGAACCGATTGTGAAGGCTTACAAGTACATGACTGGTATTTTTTCAGTGACTGATACCTCAGAGCCACAGGTTTCAAACCGTGATGACCAGGACATAAAGATGGAGAGACGCTTACTTGAGAAGCAGTATAACCAAATGAAACAGAAGCTAAAACTGCAACCACCTATTATTGTATATAAAACAGGTATGCTTATAGAGGAAAATGCATATACAATGTAAAAATGATTTCTTTAACTCTTTAAGGACTCCTAGCTTTGTTCTTTTTATGTTCAGCTTTAAGAGAGTTAAAAGTGAATTCTTTTTCTGTCATGTTGGGGTTTTACTCATTTCACTGAAAGGTGATTTTATGTTTATATCAATTATCTTCATGGCAGTGAAACACTAACATGTATTTGAAACACATGAACTGGTTGAGATAAGGTTTTACAGGTTTTATATCAGTGAAGTAAAATTCTAAACATAAATGATAACTCTTACCAGAGCCACACACTTCATATCTATACTCAGTGGATTTGTACGATGTATTCTGTAACATTTCTGCTCTCTTGAATGTTTCCATCAGAACCAGCAATTCTGGGTCATCTGTCTCTTTTTCCCTTCTTTATCTGTGGAAAAAAGTCTACAGGAAGCAACAGTAAATATCAAGTAAAAAGCACAAGTTGGGTTTTACAAAACAACTTACACTGAAAGTCATAGTGGGTAAGATGGATATAAGCTTTGAACATGAAGTCCTGTTTTGAAAGTACTTTCAGTGCATATTGCTTGGCAAGTGCATTAATAGAAAGAGAAGTAAGAATATGTAACACTCATCTACCTGCTATGTCAAAGAGATTTCATGCAAGAAACTCGCAATTATTTTCACATTTGTAGTTAGAGTACTGCTTACAATACTAGACTGATGTATTTTCATTAGATTTCCAAGTCAAAGTGATATTGAGAATACTAAGACAAGGAAGTTGTCTTCTGAATTTAATTGTATGATGAAAAACACGCTTCATTCACCTCTCATATAAGTATTTAGCTCAACAAGTGCAGAACTTAGGTTATTTCATTCTTTACATTTTCCTCTAGATATTTTCAGCAGTTCTAGAATTTGGCTGTGTCAGATTATATGATCAAAACAATTGAAAAAACATGTAATTATGAACAATACAATAGATTCACTTCTTCGATATACTTTTCATACAAATGTTCTGAAATCCTCATGTTAAAAGAATTTAAATCTCTGTGAGGAAGGAAAAAATATATATACAAGCTTATTTGATCAGGTGTGAAAAGGCAGCTAACTTGAAGACAAAATGGCCCATGCAATCAGCTAAAGTAAAAATATAAGTTAGTTAAAGAAAGGAAGCAGCAGTTTGTATTCAGATTAATCCAAATGAAGCTTCAGATAATGACTGCAATCAGAGCAGATTTTTTGCAAGGCCGTTTGAAGACGAAATTATTTAAGAAAATAGGACTGCACAGTTTCTGAGAAGTTTAAAATTTATTAGGTCTGAAAATCCACATAAAAATATTTTTATACATATAGGCCAAAACATTCACAGAACCACATAACCTTCTGCATTAATCTTGTATCCTTAAACATCCTGTGAGGAAAGATTTCATGTCACTGTTAGATGCAGATGAACTTTGGAGGGTTTTTGTTATGCTGAGTTCTTGAGGTCCTAAAAGTTCTGTATTCCTGTGGTGTAGAAGCTGGGAAAACCTATTACATGACTCAGTACTTTGAACCTGTTATATACATCAGTTTTCAAGGATATGTCAAGCAAAAATGAACACCGTATCAGGTGTTCCTGGTATCTCCATGGCTGTTCAGAGATGCTGTGTCAGATTGTAAGCAACACTCTTCTACTTTTTCCCCTGTAATATACTTCATAACTTATACTGCAAAGGACACAGTCCCTATAACTCCACCCCATAAATAAGGCCAGCATTCTGCACAACTCCTACTTTAAACTATATTTACACTAACTGAAGTATATTTCATTAGTAGTTGCAATGTCAACAGCACTGATTATCTTCAGTGTAATGGTTAATTTTCAGGGCACATAAAAGGAGTCATGACCAGTAATTTGATGACTGCTACACGTAAATAAAGCAGCATTGGCATTTCTAAACTTAATATCTCATACATTTCTAACTAACTTTCATACATAGTTCTTAACCTGGCATTGAAAGAACATGCCCTACTCTCAGCCACAGACAGAAAGAGCACAGATAAACTTATAAGTTAAAGTTCTTTTGATGAGTTTACACCACAGAAATCAGACCCTTGATTTTAGCCACCAGAGGAACACACACAAATGCATTTCTCTTGCAGGTGAACATGAATCTGTTCCCCTAAAATCAATGGTTAAAGGTGTTCTAATTAATAGAGAAGTCAAAATATTAAAGTCATTTGCAGATGATCCTGTTGGGAAGGTCACATTGGAGACAACCAGCTGGGGCAATGTACAATACAACTCACTGTGGTACACCCACCTGCAAACTCACCACCTGAGTAAAATCTCTGGACAAAGAATTTCCTGGGATCTTGACAACCACAAGAACGAACCACAGAGTTTTGACAACAACAGACTGATTTCAAAGGGAGATGACACACTGCAACCCAAGGAATTAGGAGGAGCAAGTGAACAATCTGCACTCAGGCAACCTGGAAGTTCAAGCACATCTAACAGTTTCAGTAAGGAGAATGACTGCAGCGTTTCAAGCTCCTGCCAAAAGCTTCCTCTGAAATCAGCCACTTCAGCAGTTTGGACATGTCAGCCTGTTTCTTCCATAAAATACACATCAGCCTGCAACAAACAGAACTTTTACCCTCTCTCTAATAAGAAAGGGCTCAGAATCTCTGAAACAGCAAGGAGGCTTGGATTGTATGCCTCAAAATGAAGACATTCAGTAACACCGATAACTTAGTCAAAAACTGGATTTAGCTTAAAATGTAAAAATATTTTTTCTTGTTATATAGATCAACCTGTTCTAGTAGTAGTAGTAGTAGTAGCCAAGGAAGATTCTTACTGTATCATTTTTAACATAAGGTTTCACTATTCACGCTCAATATTTTCAAGATACTTTCTGATGTATTGTTAAAATCGATTATTAAAACTTTTGCTTGTTTCTGTTGTTGTAATGGTTAAGATACTTTCCGATGTATTGTTAAAATTGAGTATTAAAACTTTTGCTTGTTTCTATTGTTGTAATGGTTAAGATACTTTCTGATGTATTGTTAAAATTGATTATTAAAACTTTTGCTTGTTTCTATTTTTGTAACGGGTCTTGGTAAATGTCATCTTACTCTTATATATAAATTCTATAATAACATCTCATTGGTTCCCAGCTATCCCCAGTATTTCATCAGCAAAGTAATGAGGTCTCCCCTCCTGCAAGATCTCTAGGGGAAGGAGACAGTCTCTTGCAGGTGCATTTTCACAGGATCAGAGAATTTTAGGGGTTGAACTGGATCTTACAGATCATCTAGTCCCAATTCCCTCTACCCTGGGCAGGGATATCTCCCTACTAGACCAGGATGCTCAAAAGTTTCATCCAACCTGGTTGGATCAACACCCCAACGTCCCCAAACTGGGCTCCCTTGCCCCATACTGGGAGAAAAGCTTTTTTCCTAATATCAAACCTAAATTTCCCCTCTTTCAATTTGAACCCATTACCCCTTGTCCTATCATTGCAGTTCCTACCAAACAGTCCCTCTCCGGCTCCCTTGTAGGCCCTTCAGATATTGAAAAGTTGCTATGAGGTCTCCACACAACCTTCTCTTCTCCAGGCTGGACAGCCCCAACCTCTTCAGCCTGTTTTTATAGGAGAGATGCCCCAGTCCTCTTATCAACTTTGTGGCCTCCTCTGGACTTGCTCCAACAGTTCCATGTCCTTCTTGCATTGAGGGCACCAGAACTGCATGCAGTGTTCCAGATGGGGTCTCATGAGAGCAGAGTAGAGGGGGAGGATCCCCTCCTTTGACCTGCTGGCTACGCTGCTTTTGATGCAGTGGCCTGGATTTGGTTGGCTTTCTGGGCTGCAAGTGCACACTGCTGGGCCATACTGAGTTTGTCGCCAACCTTCACACCCAATTCTGTCTTTAATGACAAAAAGAGGAGTGATGTATCACCCACTTCTGGCTGCAAGTGTTCAGACAGGTCTCTTTCTCAAATGTAGGCTTCAGAGAAACTGGAGATGTGAAAAGTCTCCCCATGAGACATCATAGCTACTTTCTTTATTCTTCACAGTAGTTCAGTATTTGAAGAATGATCAGGAAATATAAGTTAAAACACAGATACACCCAATAGGAATGGGTACAACAGGGAAAAAATACTAGATAACAGCCCACATGAAACAAGAAGCTGCCTGGAAGGGACTACTTCAAAAACTTCATTGTCCTTTGATTGAATTAGTTATCTTAATTAAATATGGACCTTGAAAACCTTGATTTAAAAACTCAGTGCAGGTTTAAGCACGGACTAAGTAACTAACTCCTTTGTAAACTCTACCATACAAACACTTTGTCCTTTCCTCAGCTTTTTCTAGCATATTGTTGTGCTTTGTACTGACTGAACTTATTTAGAAAAGGCATTTTGCCTGTGGAGAAGTCTTTCAATTTAATTTCCAAGGACACTATGGAAAAGCAATTGCAGTAAATTTTCATTTGTTCGTGGAGTAGTTTTAGTTATGAGAAAAGTTGCTATACTCACATTTCAAGAGACTGGAATATTACACACAATTTCGAATGAAAAAATTATGAGTTTTTTTCCTAAAGCAGCTGTAGTGAAAATGAAACAGGGAAGAGAGAAAAATTGAAAACTTCAAATATTAGAAAGTTCCAGTTCTCAAGAGCACCTGATCTTCAAAACCCTTTCCTGTTACCTTCTTCATGTTTGGTGATTATGGGAGAGGATCTTTCATCACTGGGTTACCATAGCTTTAGTCAAGTTTCAAGCACTGAACTCAAGACTGCCATAAAAGCGAGCTTGCCCTGAGCTTATCAGTAGGCAAACTTGACTGATTTTTGCACATGGGAGAGCCTGGAATCCTGAAATTCTAGTTCCGTGTCTTGTTCACAAGCCCATGATCCCTGTGAGGTTCCCATTTCCAAAGCTGGAAATGTGATCTGCATGACTTCCTAAGGAAAAGGTTATTTTACATGAGGACAGTCCTGCAGGCCGTACATTCTAGAATAAATAGCACTGCAATGCAATGATTTCAGTCACACATTGAAGCAGTTAGAATAAAACCCCTTTGCTGCTGGGATCACTGGTCACATGAAAGAATTAGCCCCCGTGAGTTAATTATAACTGGTGTAGCCCATTAAAAGAAAACGGTTGTCTTTTTACAGGCATCCAAAAGAAGCAAGCCCCAATCCTCCAAGGGCCTCAAATGCAAACACACCATTTAGCAGCCCACACTGTACAGCCAAACACCTGCAGCCTGATACCCTGCTTCCACTGCAGGACACTGCAGCACTACCTCAGCCTGAGGTGCTGTTTAGCACCAGGTTTTCCACACCCTCCATGTGTTCTTCTAGCCCTGTCTCTGAGCCCAGGTTAACGTTTAACAGCCACAACAAGGCACAACCTTGCCCACTGCGGCTGATGGGGAAATATGTTGGAGAATGGCTAAGAGAGTGGGGACATAATCCTGGGAATGCACCTGAGGAAGGCAAAAAGAGCAAGGACACAGTCACCTGGGAACACATCTGGGGATGCAGTGTACAAGCAAGGCTCTGGAGATAGTAACTTATATATAGATAGGGAGTAATTCAGCTGGGCAGATGGCAGGGGTAAGTTGTCCTTGAGGGTGAGACAAACAAGTTTGAGACAAACAGCTAGGAATGCAGCCAAGCCTGAGAAAGTAAGAGATAATCCTCACAGCTGTAACTGCAAGTAGGGAGAGTACCTGAATGCTGTCTTTACAGCTTAGCCAATTATAAATGATTGATAGTTATATGCCTGTCCAGCACTGTATAAAAAAGAGCCTGTCGGACAATAAAGTTGGAGCTTGCTGTATCACCCACACGGAGTCGGCCGCTTGCTTCTCCGCACGGAACTTTCACTTTCCCAACAGAAATAAAGCTCACACATGAAAGCTCACCCTCAACACTGCTGCCTTGAAAGAATACAGTAAAGAAACCACACATTGATCCTTCTTGGCACAGTACCTTCACACTTTCACAGCACCTCGGCCTTTTGGGGAAATGGCCCCTCTCAGCACTGACAGGAATTTCAGTCCCTCTTGCCTCACACACGGAGAGGTGACAGCCAAGGGATGGCTGCAGAGCACTCAGCCCCAGCCCCTGCCCCTCTTGGAAAGGACAGTCACTCAGGCAGTCCTGGGGATGAGCCACCACATCCCAGGGATGAACCACCAGACAGCCCCAGGACCAGCAGCTCCTGCTGCTGTCCACAAAATCACCTGGTATGCAACAAGCCGATAATTACGCACAAGGGAGAGACACTGATTATTTATTTCAGAGATGCTCAGTGGTATTTCACAAAATAAGGACACTGACTATCAAAACGTTTTACTATTTATACATTTTAGTAAACAAAGGCATTAATGTTCATTGTCTTCAGGTTAGATAGTTGTCTTATTGTGCTGGTTTGAAAGCAAACCAGTGAGAGACTTCAAGTCAGAAGTACAATTTAATAGGAAAAACAAAACAACAAATGCAACAGTACAAAAAGAAACCACTGACAGAGTCAGAAAGCAACCTGACACCCTGTCAGTCAGGGTGTTGGTAGCAGTCCAATTAAATGGTGTCTGCAGTCCTCCTGGAGTGATGGGTTTGTTGGAGCAGTGATCCCACAGATCCAGTCCTCTCCCGAAGGTCCAGTGGCAGCTCTTGTCCTCTGGGAATCCAACAGGCAAAAGGCTCCTGTGCTGGTCCAAACCCCAGATTATATCCAGGTGGGAGGGCTTGGCTTTCCCCCCTGGGGTGAAGCATCTCACAATGGGACGATGTAATTCTGTGGGTCATGCCTGGGTCCCTGACAGCCCATTGAACAGAGACAGCCCCTGAGGGAGCCATTGGGGATGAGTAGGAGATAAGGATCACTGCCCCCACCTGCTTTAACAGCTTGTGGAGATGATAATAGAATACATACCACAGGTTACCCCCACACTGCAACCCAGGACACTTATTAATTATTATTCTAACTTCTATTGGTTAATGATTTGCTTCTTATGCTAAGTAGTCTGCATGCTCAGTGTTTCTCTTCTTTTTGGGTCAGTGGGTTTCTGCAGTCAGTGGTTGCAGTGTGCCTCTGCTAGAATTACCTTTCACCCAGTTGGAGCTGATTTCAGCACAGCTGCTGTGTTGGCTTTACTAGTTTCTTCCTTATCTTGGGAGTTCT